TATTTTCATTAAAAATTGAAAGATAAAGAAAACCATAAAACACCAAATACTGTTATAAAACAATTAAAAACCTTTTACAATTAAAATTACAGTTTCTATGCAAAAATAAGCCCTTCGGCCAGCAGGCAAAAGGCAGATTTTTCGGTGCACAAAACTAAAAGTTTCCTTTTGGTCTCATTCGGCAAAAAGACACTTAAGGTGCAGAAAGAATTAATTCACCATTCTGCTAAGTTTCAACTGTAAACAAATATGGCTGCTATGGTAAAAAAATTAGGCTTAGCCGCACTCAAACAACTTTAAACGGTTCATAATTCAAATATTGCATGCATATTAACTGCATAAAAGCCTCAACCGTAAGATAAGAATAGCATAAGTCAGTCCTTTTTAAAGCAAAAAATGAACAATTTACCAACCAAGAATAAAAAAAAAAACTGAGCTCACTGAGCCGAGTAACAGAGTGGGTATATATCTATCAATCTATCTATCTATCTATCTATCTATATATATATATATATATATATATATGGTATAAATTTTAAAAAATTTAAATTTTAACAAACATGTATATACGTAAAAAAACAAATTTAAAGTAAAATAAATAAAAAATGTACAAACATATATAAGATTTAATTTTCGAACTAATCTACAATATCATTTAAATTCAGATAGCATAAAAAACTGGGAATTTAAATGTTATTGCTAATTAATTCACTAAAATTAATTAAAATTGAACTATTGTATTAAACTATTTAATTAATTAAACTAAATTATTTAGAGAGCGAGTTTAAAATCAGAATTAATTAAAAAGAAAACAAAACTATTAGAATTAGAAAGTTGTATTTAAAATTTATAATAAAAAGAGAAACAAACCAGGTAATTAGCGCTAAAGCTGCTAAGTACAAACAAAATTATTTCAAAAGAATAAATTGAATTTAAACAAATTTAATTTAAATACAAATTTAATTCATTCTTTGCGCCATTGCTGCAAAGAATGAAATTTAAAAATTTAAACAAATTTAAATTTTAACAAACATGTATATACGGAAAAAAGCAAATTTAAATTTAAAATAATGTGCAAACATAGAAAAGATTTAATTTTCGAACTAATCTATATATATATATATATATACTTTTGGTGCGGCCGATTGCAACCAAATAGGAAGGTGCACGACTACATGTTATAGCAGTCCTATATACGAAATTTCAACGTTCTAAGACTGCTCGTTTTTGAGTTATGCGACATATATACGTATGCACGTACAGACGCCACGAAAATAATCTCTTTTGAAGCATTTTATAATTTCTTTGGGGAAAAAGTGCCCTTTATTCTGTCCTTACGTACAGATGTCACGCAAAAACATCGTTAAATTGCATTCGATAGCGGTTAAAATGGATGTTTTTTTGAAATATTGTACCCGGAATTTTTCGTGATTATAACATTTTCTTTATTTCGTACAAGGAAGTAAAAAAGATAGAAAATTAATAAATTTATTGAAAATGGTTTTTTCGAAGTGGGCAAAGTCAAACAGTAGGAGGGAAAAAAATTGCTATGATATCAGTTCATCGTAAATTAATGCCACGTGGAGACTCGTGCACTTTCGCTTAATAAGGAAAAAGTTAAGTTATTCAATACACAGCTGTTAATTTTTTTAATTGGATCGTTTGCTTAAAAGGCTTGAAACAATGCCCTGATACCAATATTCCCTATTTTTTCAAGGACATGAAATACCCTTCTTAAAAATAAAAAAACACTTCACAGAAGTTTATTTTGAGCCGTTTAATGAATGGAAACTAGTGAACTTGCCAGTGCAGGTTCTGCAATAATTAACGAATGCAACGAATATTACGTTAAAAATTATTCTATTTTTAATTAATTTTTTTAAAAAATTATCATATTTTACACGTTAAAAATTATCATATTTTTAACGAACTACTCAAAAAAACTAATTCAATATCTACTTGCAACAGCTGTTAATACCGCATGGAAGTTCTAGTATTTAGCAACCAACATCAATGAACTAACATCAAAATGAACAGCATATTTCATACACCTGAAGCACTTTAGAATAGGATCTTCAAAAAATTAGTTTGTAAAATGCAATTAAATATGTTATTTACATTTGTATTTCAAGCATAAAATCGAACTTGGAAAATCTTTATCAAAATATATTATTTACGCAAAGTGAACATAACCATGACATTTACGTAACGGTCACGAAATAAAAGAAGTTCTAGTTAAAAGTTGCTAAAGCCTATAATTAAACAACACGCTCACTGAAGCATTCATCACTTACATTTCCACGTCCATTCATCCCTAAGAATACAATTTTTTTAGATAACATCTGCCGTCTTGTGTCCTAAATCTGCAACATCATTATTTTTCAATGATTAGAAACTTAACTAGGCGAAGCAACTAGTTTTCATGAACGCATTACCTCACACAGTGGCTGATCTTCGTCTGCCGTTTGATATTTTTAATGCAATTAACATTTAAATACAGTGCTCCCAATTTTTTAAGCGTAGACTTACTTGAATAACTGAAATTTAATAAATCACCTCATGCTGTTATTACAGTTAATAAAATGCTTGAGGAAACTGCATTTTACACAGTTTATTTAGTGAAGCAGCGGAAGAATTATCTAAATTTTGTTGTAATTTTCTTTTTAAGATCTTGCGCATGACTGAAATTCGATTAAAGTATTGCATAATTCTCATAGCAGCTTTTTTTTGAAGACAAAATTGTTATTCAGCATAGCGAATTGATAAATATTGTTAAACAGATTTCTTATTAAAATTTTTTTAAACATTGGGGTTATATTTTTCCTTTGTTAGTAGTAGCATGTATATGTTTAAAATAGAATCAATAATGCATTTTTTTCAAAAATAAAACACAGTTTCTCTGTTGCATCTGGCAGACGAAAATACAAGCTTACGTGCATATCAAACTTCGAAAAAATTTAATATACTTCTTTCAATTTTAGAAACAAAATTATTTACTTTGATTGCCTACAATAACGCTGAGAACCGATCACATAAAGATTTTATTACGTAAAAGAATGTAATAGTTTTCATGCAAAGCATAAATTTTGTTTTATTTTGCATCAAATTTGTTATTACTACTACGTTTACGCTCAAGAGAAACACGACTGCTAACCTCGTCGATAACCAAGACGACACACACGCCGCATAAACACAGGATATATAATCTTTACTCATTTTCTTCTCTTCCACCGCGGAATTATATAGCGTTGAACCTTCCACCTCGTCAGCACTGTTCAGCTACATGGGAAAATGCAAATTTCCCTACTATAACCAACAAATAATAGTATTGACTAACGATAACCTAAGTATATTTATCCACAGAAGCCAATAAAAGTGAGTTATGTCCTTATTCCCACAAATCCCTTTTCTGAAATCAGCTTCTGAGAAAATATCAAAGACTATACTCACTATTATAGTTTAATTTTTAAGTTACGCCTACAAATATGCTTACAATGAAATTATGTGTCAGCCAATGTTCACAACACGCCGACAGTTTCGGAAATATTTTATTATCATAGGCACAAACAATAACAGTCAATCAGATGCCCTGTCTACTATTTTCTAACAGATTATTACTAGAAGGCGATGCGTACCATCAGCACCTCCACTGCTGTTTACGACTCGCAGCAATCGCCTTGTAGCATGAATAAGTTCCTTACATACTGGATCTTTGGCAATGGTTCTTTTATGTTAAGAAACCGATCAACAGGCACACGGACTCATATCAGGTGAGGATGACAGATGTTTCAGTACCCTTCCCCGTCGCTATCGCAGGAGATTCATGACAGAATGACAGAGCATTATGACACCACGCATTGTCATAGAAGATGATGAGATTCCCCACCTGAGACATCATCTACTTCAATATTTTAGAGTAAACGACGGCAGTTGTTGATGGTGAATTCGATCCTTCTCCATGACATTGTGCGGTGTCATAAGGCGAGCGCTGTCACGGATCTCCTTTGAAGGTCGCGATGGAAGATTATTGGAATTAACCGCCGTATTCACCCGATGTGAGTCCATGTGACTATAACCCTTTTCCCAAAATGAGGTTATCATTACTAGTTGAGCGGTCGCTGTGAGTTTTCAGCATGATGCCTTCCAGTAGTATGACAGATGATGATAAACATGGCAAACAAATATATTGAGGAACTGTGAGTGTATGTAACTGCGGTAATAAAGTCCTTCCAGAGCAAATGACGTGCTACCTCTAGCTTTTATACAATCCTTGTAGATAATTCTGCCAGATTCCACGAGAAGACATGGATGTTTATAAGTCTGTGCGGCAAGAACACACTCAAAATATACGGTAAGCGGACAGTCTCTAGAGAAGTTGCTGATAGGAGAAGAGGGATGGGAGACTTTGAGAACGCCTCCCAGTGTGTTCTCTCTCAAAGCTACACAGAATAAAATTAAAATAAGACTAAAACTAAATTAATTTATTTTTGCTCTTTTCTGTGTAGTATTTGTAAATTCGTTGCTGTTTCCTTAAAGTATTTTTTCATTTTTTATGTTTGGTTATTATTTATCAAAATTTCGGATTTTATTCGATAGTTAATATGGCAAAATTTGTCGATATTTTATATATGGCAGCGCTATACCTGTACGATCTATGGAAAATTCTGGTGCCCACCCCACTTCTACTTATACTTGTACCTACGTATAGGTTTATCACATTATACAAACACAAGGGCTAATATTTAGCTATACTAAGATGCTATTCGGTTGCACACAGATGTTACATGGCTGTACTGAAATTACAGTAATTAAGGGGCGATATAACATCCGGGTTTTACAATATGATTCTACCAATTTGGTATACTTTATAATTTACAATTTGTTCAGATATCAGATTTCATACCTCGCAAAATCGAAACACCATTATATATAAAGTTTCATGTACGATTTATACATAAAGCGTATTAAAAGATAATAAGATGTTGAATTTATTATTTTAGGCTCAACTGGCCGTTTTTTTCCTGGTCATGGGTATCACCATGGCATGGTCACAGAAACAAAACGTCTCCAAAAGCAAACCAGATTCCGACAATAAAGCAAACCCGAAGGAAGTGGAGGCTTCTGAAAAAGTTGATGAATCATCACTTAGGTCCCATTACACAGGATTCCCTGAATCCGAACATTACCACCATCATGAAGATAGTCAATACAGTCCTCATAGTGGCAAAGAAGGAGAGGAATTCATAGATAGCGAAGACCACGAGGAACATCAGGACGAAGAATTGCAGGAAGGTCATCACAAAACAGATAAGAAGATTGAGGAAGATGATACGAAAGAATACAAGGAAAGTGGAGCCCATCAAGAGTTTGAACAAGGTAAGAAGTATAAAAACATGTTATTGTGTTTAGCACTATCATTACGCATATTTCAGGAAAATTAAGAGAAATGAACAACAAAGAAGAATTAAATATATCAATGATTTATTAGTAATTTAGATATGCAATATATTTTGGCACATTTTAAGACACTAAAGAAAGAATTTTATATTTAGCGTTTTTAACCTATTTGTGCAAAAGAAAGTAATTCAGTTTCCCTTATAATAAAATTTAATATCTGATATATAATGCTCACGAAATTAATTTTACTTTGCCTAACGATAAAATTATTTCCCTCCATCAAAAAACATAACAAAATAAAAACGAAAATGAGGACTAAATTAATTAATTTTTGCTCTTTTATGTACAGTTGTTATAAGCTCATTACTTCCACCTTAAAGTGTCTTTTTCGTTTTTTACATACATCATTTTTAACAGTATTCATCAAAATTACAGATTTCATTTGAGAGTTATTGTTGCGAAATTTGTTTCCCTTTTATATGAATTTTAGTACGTAAAAGCAACAGATGATACAGAACTAAAAACCAGTTATATTGAGAAAGATGAATAGTCATCATTATTTTCTATAAAAAAATATTTTGAGCAAACATGAAGAATAAATGGATCTCTGAGTATCTAATATAAGGATCTTTCGTTTATAAATACAAAATTTTATCAATCATAGAATAATTTTGCTGCAAGAAAATCTATGTCATATACTTTTAAAATGCAGTAAGATTTTACGTAGATAAACGCCTATCTAAATTTTGTTTAATCAGAGATTAAAGTCGGTATGCTTCTTTAAAACCTATTGAAATTTTATAGATATTACAAATATTCTTTTATTTCGGTCTCTTCATTTTCACTCATAAAACACGTAAAAAATGCCTCGGTAAGCTACAAACTATCTTTTCCTAATTATGTTTATGAAAAGATAAAATAAAAAAAACATACATATACGTACCTTATTTAAACTAATATTATACTTCTCTCAAAGACGGTTCGACAATTAATTAAAATTATTGAGCTAAGTACGTACTAGAAATTTTATATATCGTATTCTGAATTTCAGATTTAATGCAAATTTTAAATTAAGTTTCCGTTATGAAAGCATTAGACAATTTAATTTTTAAGTAGCCAAACTCTAATATCTTAAAGACATATTGATTCCAATTTATTATCCCATATAAACCTTGGGTTTAGTAATAAAAGCGCCAGTGACCGAATCGATAAGACAGCTAACCATAGTCTTTCACATAGGCATTTCAAGGTCGTAGTGTGACTCCCCTCATTTACGATCGCAATGTATGTCGCTATTACTGCACAAAGGAAATCAGGAAATTTCAGAAAATTAGAGGATTCGACCTTTTCTCAGCAGCAGCAGCCGTTATAAGATATGGTTAGAAGATAAGGTTAGAAGATATGGTTAGAAGAGCGAAAGCACCCTTGAAGTGCCTACATAAACTACAGTATAGCAATCTTGTTTCAGATCTCAACAAAAGGCTAGTTGGCTGCACGGCCGTTTTCGTGGTTTACCGCATGTGTAACATAAAAACGAACTAGTTTCCGTTACAAAACTTTATCCTAAGATATCCCTTAGTATGGTTTTCCATAATCAAATAACCCATTTCAGTCTAGTAATAACTTTCATATTTCTAGTCAACTCCAATAATAATAGAAACGAATGACATTAGGATAATTGTTTTTTATCTTTATTTGTTGCTCAATGTACAGCAATCGGTACTTTTTATCTTTTACTTATAAACATGGTTAAGTAAAAGATAAAAAGTATCGATTGCAGTAAATAAGACATTCGAATTCTTCAAATTCTCTACGTATTACCTTAAGTACCTGAAAGTTATATGAGAAATTCGACATTGTTGGACAAAAATAAGATTTATGGAAAATAAAATTTAAAATATTAAAAATAAAATTTGTGGAAAAGAAGCATTTAGTTTCCAGTGTTAGCTAATCAAGCGCAAAAAAAATTATTAAAGTGGAAAATAAGCATGAAGCATTTTAAAATGCCAAAATTCGATAAATAACAACTTTTTGTATTTCCAGTAACTTTATATTCTAATTTTTCCTCGCAGGTGGAGCCTCTTTTGATAAACATTTGAAGGACGTTAAAACAGACAACAAGGAATTAGAAAACATAAAACAGCATGACGCTGCTGAAAAATTTGGAAGCGAGGCTGTCAAAGAGCACAAACTTGGGAAGCATCGCGAAAAAAGCAAAGGTCATAAATCTCATGGATTCAAAAATGTATATCACAAAGAAGAATATGGAGACCATAAAACTTTCCATGACGAATATTTGGATAACGATCATCACCATGACTATGATGATCATCATGAACACAAAGAAATGAAAGGAGGTAAATTTTCTAAAGGATTCAAGCATGAAGGAAAAAACAAGAAATACGATAAGGGAGATGAAGTACACAAATGGGGAAAATCAGGTCATGACGGACACCATTCAGGCAGTCATCATAAAGATGCGCATTTAGCAAGGCATCGCCACGGAAATAAACAGCATGAAGGACATCATCATGCCCAAATTCATAATAATAAGAATGCTGTTCACAAAATAAAGAAAGGAAATCCTCCCCTGTATGTCTCACATAGTGGACCTCATCAAGCTCAATATTATAATCACCAACGCAGTGCCCAGGTTCAACCCTATGTTAGTGCACCTATTCAACATCAAGTGCAAATTCCTCATCAAGTTCAAGTTTCGCATCAACAGCATATACGAAATCCTCATCAGCAAGTACAAACTGTCCATCAACAACGCATACCTTCTCCCCAACAACAACGAATACCTGTCCCCCATCCCCATCAGCATCATATACACACAACCCATTTGCATCAAGCACATGTCCCTCAGCAACACTCTTTACATGTTCCGCGTCAACATTCCTTACATGTTCCTCGCCATCATTCATTACATTTCCCCCGACAACATTCATTACTTTTTCCAAACCAGCACACAGTGCATGCTCCTCAGCACCACCTTGGGCAAGTTCACCAACATCGACTACATTTTCCTCAACAACAACAACTTCCCTTTCATCAGCCATTTCAACAAAACCCTGTTGCAACACATCAGGATGTAAGTTATCCCAGTCATGGTGGACATCAAGAATATAAAGCTGCAGACCCCAATACTTACAAAGAAAAAGATTACCAGCACAGACATTCTTATAGCGAACAACTAGAAGATGTCAGTGAAGATGAGTTGGAAAATAAACAGGCTCGTGAACCTGCTGACCATAAAGATGACGTGCATTACAGACAATCAGACTATGGTGAACAAGAGGAAAAACATTCTTCAGATGAAATATTTTCAGACAGACAACACGTTCATTATGATGACGAAACTAAAAATTCTCGTCATGATCATGAACCTTCAATAAGTCGTAGAAAGTTTAATCCACAACAGAAAAAACGAAATCACGAAGGTCATAAGAAACATCATCGCCATTCAACAAGCCATTTCGAAGAAAGTAATGCTAAATCTGAAACTCCTGAGAAAGAATCAGAACATTTTAGGAAAGAATTCAAAGGCATTGATGACAAGAGTTTGCACAAATTCTATAGTTAGATGCTAATACTTCTAAAATATTATTAGCTAAAAATTCCGAAAATGAAGACCAATGGTACATTTTTTAAAAACTTTCAATCCCAACAATTTTGTTAGTAACTATGCATAACAGGTAATGGTTCCTTTGGTATAAACACATAGTTTCTTCAATAAGATGCATGTAATAAGCAAGAGAAAGTTACAGATGCATTTCAAAACGTCAAAGGGACTCATCAATAATGGCAAAAGGAAAAGGTAAACACAAAAATGTATGCAAAAGAAAAAACAACAACTATACGTCAAAGTGCATAATAGTTAACTAATTTCTCGTTAAGTCATCGTATAGTGGAGAAGATAAAAACAACTAGAACAGTGAAACTTTCAGTTGCTTCTGGTTTTCGTGATAAAGGAAAAATAAACCACGTAGAAGAAAACGGCGTTTATTTAAACGTGATTTACTTTATTTAATTACAATTTATGTGAAACATTTCAGTGTGTTATCAAATATGTTTAATCCATAATAGCATCTATACATTTTATACTTTAAAGCAATTTTTATGTTCGCTTATTCACACAGGACTGAATGATAACAGATTATCAAGTAAACTGAGGGAGTTTAAGGGAACATAGATTTGAAAATATTTAGAATTATAAGCTAGCTGAAACATTTTTGGTTTAAAATGATCTTAATAATAAAATAACACCTATTTGTGGTACTTAAAATTTAAGCCAGTATCTGAACACTTATATGCACATAACATTATGTTTGTACGTTTGTATATATGAATTAATGTACAGTTATGTTTATAACGGTGCTCCTAAAAAGTACTCTGTTATAGAGAATTGGGCTTTATTGTTACGCAGGCAATTTTGCTTTGTCTTAGTGTTTTTTAATTACATTATTTTTTGATTAACTATATATATATTTAACTTTTATACTGATGGATTTCGACAAACATCATCGAACATTGCCATATCATTCTAATGTAAAAATATAATGCATCACTAATGCACCTATGATGTAATGTAGACATACATTTGTTTCAATAAAATCTAATAAAATGTGGTTTAGCTCCTTTTTCATACGCAGCCTTTCCATTTCTCGACTTCCACACTTTAATGATTCATATATCTAATTTATTAGAGAGTAAAGTCAAATGAACTACAATGAGATCTCGATTCACGAATTTAATTCACTAATGAAAATTCACGAATTCACAACTTTCTTCATAGAAATGAATATAAAATGGATTAATTCGCTATTGGACCACAGATGACTGCTAAGTTGAACTTTACAACGGTACTTTGTGCACAAGTTCATAAGCCCATACCAATGGAAATCAGTAAATATGAAATAAAAACATTATTAAACAGATAAAATGCATGAAAACTTAACTTAATAAGTGGCCTACGTACTCTTAACATTTGGTGGCAATATTTGAAAAGTGAAACGGACATTTATAGTGATTCAACGCAAAATCGTAAAACGAAAACAATAGTCCTTCAGGTACAAAGCTGCTTTGGACTAAAAAAAAAAAAAAAATAATAATAATAATAATAAAAAAAAAGTCAAAGCACTGAAAGTCTCAGCTTGCAGCAACCCAATCTAGACATAATTTTCTTCAGGCCGAATTCATGCTGTAAGTTACTCACTTGCTTCTAGGCTTTGTTACTGAGATCTAAGCAACAGCAGATATTAAAATGATGTTTTCGAAGTCGTAAGAATAAATTCTGAGTAAAAGGTTACTTCAAAATACTTTTGAAAACCGTATGTACATTCTTCGTAACTCGAGACACTATTCCTTATTCGAAGCGTTTTTTGTTCAGATAATCTATTCGTGAACCGAAATATTCTTGAGGCGAGGAGTTTGCAATTCGAGGTTCCACTGTACTAAGCAAAGCACAGAAAGATTCGCTCTTTCACTTTAATAAATCTTAGATACATAAAATTTATATCACATGTTCTCAAATAAACGCATGAAAACACTTTAACTCTTAATATAATTATACAACTCAAATTTATTTAAGAAAGGATTCGCTCATACGCATTTAATTTTTTCTCTCCGTGCTACTTTTTTTTTTTGGGGGGGGGGGTCTTCCCTTTTTTTCCTACCCTTTTCAGTTTTACAAGAATCAAAACATTATGAAGCTGAAACATTATTATATAATTTCTTATTTATTTTTGATAGTTAAAAACAATTAAACGATCTCGAACGTATAATTTAACTGATCATAACCATCAATTTTTATATCCATTGAGTTATATATATTTTTTTTACTTGCATTGTCTTTTCCTTTTGCAGGCGCAAATTGTAATGTCTCATATAGGTGTGCAATGGTATTCAGCCAATATATATAAAGTCAATTTTCTAATCTACCTTCTTTCCATATCGGCAATACATTTATAAAACCTTTCCCCATGTTTATATAAAATAGCTCCCAAATTGTTTAGAAAAAATTGAAACGAGAGTGACGAAAATAAAACTTGTGTGGGATATTGACTCTCTGTAGGGTGTAAACAATCCTTCCCAGCATAATAATTATAATCTTCGTATTTCTTATCCACCAAAACTTTCACCAAATATATTTTGAAATACATTCCAAGCTACTTTTACCATGGTCCGATGAAACTTTAATCTCTTTTTTGACACTTACCTGTGCCAGTAAATAGATCTTTTATATAAAAGTAGGTGTTAAGAGTTATCCATTGGCCTACTTTGAAGAAATAATACTAGTTTTATCGTGATTGAGAAGCTTAATAAAAGTTTCTTAAAAGTGTGACACACAGATTAATTTGATATTTTTCATTAAAGTGTGTTTAAATATACGCAGAAAAATGTAAATAAATTACCAATTTATTAAAAAAACCCAAAAAATTCAAAATTTAATAATGAAAGTAATAATGATAAATATTCATTAATTTTAATACAGTAAATTAATTTTTTATTTCAATGAAGTTTGGAATTTTGATATAATACTGATATAATTCTTTTACATATGCAATGTGGTTGAAATTATTATTAAATTAAAACAAAAATAGTTTGAGTACCTTTTACTATGTTTTTCACAGAAATCCAGTAACCAAACTGCAGCAATTAGAAACAAAGAAAGGCAAAAAATAAAAAAAAAAGTCTAGGTGAAAGAAGCATGGCATATAGAAATCCGTATAATACCTCGAACCCCAAATAAAACTTCCGAAACATGAGATCAGGCTAATTTCATTAACATTAAAGACTATTTCAAAGCAATCAAAATAAGGCTATTTAGAAAATATTAAACTATAGATTCCTTTAATAAAAAATAGCTTATTGATTTTATTAGTTCCTTAAAATGAGTTTCTTACATGGAAAAGATATGCTAGTTGTAGTTTACCTGTTATTTTATTGAATTCTCCCATCATCAGCAGACTTCAAATATTTTTTTAATAAAAGGGAGTTTATATACATTCAAATTATTTTTTATTTTCTCTTAATAAATAATGACATAATCATGTATCAGTTTTGCCATTATTTATTGTTTGACACAACGAAGAGAAAATAGCCTACAAGTAATTTTTAAAATACGTATTTTATTTCATTTAATTAAACTTAATAACATGAATGAGAAAATATGTTAAAATAGCATACCAAATACTGAATAAAAGAATGTGAATTCACAGATATTAATATAAATGAACACAAGAACTCATAAAACAAAAGGCTCTGAAAATATTTTCTTATGAGTAATAAATGTCACACTCAAGGCTACTTCTGACTAGTAAGTTGCTGTGTTTCTGCAGGTATGCTGCCCTCTTCAAAAGTTAAAGTTCAATACATAACACTTTGGAAGACGATAGGTTAGCACCATCTGTCATGAGTTTTCCATTCTGCATTCAGCGTGGAGAACATAATACTGTCAAAGAGAGTAACTTCAGTTTTTGTTAAGTAAAATTTAAAATTTGGCAGATACTTATTTACATTTATACATATTACTATCCTATATCATTGCTAATAATAAAAAATAATCACATTGATATTTTATAAAATAAAACAAAACAATAATGAATTTACTTACATCATTGTTAAAAATAATTACAGTGATATTTGTTTAAAAACAACAACATACATTCTTAGATCATTGTTGAGAATAAGAATAACTGCAGGGAAATTTGTTAAAAATAAAACAAAACAAAAACAGACATAATTCTATTATTCTTAAAAACTAAAATAACTACAGTGATATTTACTATAAAAAAACAATATAATTTAATACATTTCCTTGCAAAGTAATTTCAGAATTTAGTCAGTGTTCAAATAAAACGCAATAACTACATTGCTATTTTTTAGTTGTTTCTGTATTAAATATGGGTAGCTTTATAATACTTGAACAATATACTAAATATTTGTTACCATAAGTTTTAATTCCATATGAAATTATTTACCATTATTAAAAAAATTAGTAAAATGTTTAATTTTTTCAATTTTATGTTACAAAATATACAACAGAGGCTCCCTTCAACAAATGCTGGTTACAGAGGCCGGTCTGTTACAACAAGGGATGTAAAGATTTCAATTTGATAATAGCATATAAAATCAGTTTTCACGATAGCGATCGCTTGTTTCTTTATTCGGCAGAACGGGAGGAATTATACAACGACTGTCAACAGCAAAAGTATTACTAATCTTATTAGGTAATTTTGAAACGTTTATAAAAATTCAAACAAATTAATTCTTTTTGTAAGCAATTAGGTTTTGCTTAATATATCAAGAACTCTTCTATAACAAAATCCTAATGAAAATATGAAATTTTGATTAATTTTCCAAATTCCAGTTTTAGTATACTTTAGAAATAAAAATAACCTAAGCAGTTACTTAGAGCTAATGAGTACGCTGATTTAAAAATATGCTTTCTGAAAATTTCTTTCTGGAAGAACTGGAACTTACTTTCTGGATTCTTTCTGGAAGTACGTTTTCTATAAATACATTTTCAAAATTTTTTACTATTTCATTACTTTTTTGCTTAATGCATTTTCCTGTCTAGAAAAGAGTGCAAAATTACATATAAGTTCTACGTAAGTAATTTATGTTTTTCATTTTGAAATACTGAAAAATCACAATATCAATACATAAGCAATATATTAAAGACTGGTAACATCAGGCGGAACTAAAGGAAGTAAAAATTAAGTTGTATCAACAAAGAGTAAAGTGTACTAACTGGATACATTAATTAAACTGAAATGCAGACTAAATAGCAGCTGTTGTACCAAAGGAACGCGATATGATCACAAACAAATCACAAAATCGAATTCAGTTTCAAGAAAGTCTAGGAAGTAACTCTGATGTAATTAGAAATTTTGTAAAAATGAATATCCCTCAAACCAAATTTAAAACGCAACTCCCAGTGACGACTAAATTCCATGGCTTCGAAAATATTACAAAAACATTAACGAATAATATTTAAATTAGCGGAAGCCATCATAGCGGTGCACTCACTCACTCACTCACCATTCTTGTCATTCATCTTCATTATGATGTTTCCTCTCCAAAATAACGCTATCTTTCAATAAAACAACATCAGACTATATCGCTTCTAAATAGTGACAAACTTCCTAGAAAATCATTCAGATTAGCCTAGCTCCTCTTTAGCTACTTTAAGTCTTCAAAGGTACCATTCTGTTTCTGAAGTGCGTGATGATATTTAATGAGTGTTGTTGTTGTTGTGATTAATCTCACTTGTTTACCTAATCAGAAAAAGCACACGAATATTATAGTGGCAAGAAGTGCACAACTGCGTCTGCCGTTGGCAACAGCTTTGATTACCATATAAGAGACAGTCCGATTTTGGCGAGTTCCACTCCAGTTTTGAAGGAGAGAACAAAAGAAAATGGGTCCGACGATCTCCCACCCCTTTTTCCCTAACATCGACCACTCGAGAGGACTTTCGGTTCGTCGTATACTTTGAGTGTCCTCATGTCGCACAGACACTATATATTTACAACCATCCATGCCCCAGGATTCGTACCAGGGCCCTTATGTATGACAATCAGCATCAATAACAACGTTCCCGTCTAGGCAGCTTTTAGTGAGCACTTTTATGAAGTGTATGTGTATTAAGTTCTTAAAATTTCAAAGCTGTCTCAGTCAGTGCCTATAGATTATATTTAAAATATATGTAATACATCACAAGATGTTTAATCAAAAAAGGTTGGGAAGTTATGTTTTATTTTTTCAATTATACTGGTTTTACTAAAATTATGTCTGGCTTCAGTTAGTAATTAGTTTTACACATATTTTTATAAATGAGGTCATTTGAATCTGTGATATTAGCAGTAACAAGATAAATTTTTGTAAATAAAAATGTACCAATTCTCGAATTAAATTCATAGCATTTTAATAAAATATGCATTAAGTACAATTAAAACGCTGAACAATTAGAAAATACCCTTCACAGAAGAAATTAACCGATGATAAGCTTTTAAATACACTCATGTCCATAAATTAAGGATAATGCAAAATCAGGCAAAGGAAGAGTTAGAAGCAAAACCAATTTGATTTATTTGTAAAGCTATATGTTTGATATTATTTAAAAAATTAGCGATTTTTTCTCCCTGGAGCAAATTACAAAAAAAAAAAAAAAAAAAAAAAAAAAGCCTATTTACAAAAAACCAATATTATATGGTTGGTATGATTGTTAATACATTGTATGTCTCCCAGACGATGCAATACATTCCGTACAACGCCTAGGCATGCTGAGTATCAAATTATCGATCTGATCTTGGGGGATATTACACCACTCAAAAAGCAATGCTCTTCGAAGTTCCGGTAGACATGTACGAGGAGGTTGACGGGCTGTAACTCGTCGGCCAAGCATGTCTCACACGTGCTCTACTGGATTCAAATCCGGTGAAAATGCTGGCCAGTCCATACGAGTGATATCCTCCGATTGAAGTCATTCGCTTACGATGTTTGCACGGTGAGGACGGGCGTTGTCATCCATAAACACAAACTGTGCGCCCATGGCGCCCCGAAACAAACGTACATGTTGTTCCAGAATGACATCCCGATAGATTTGGCTTGTCATGGTTCCAATTTGAACATGCAGGTCAGTTCTGGAACCCAGAATAATTCCACCTCAAACGAGCATTCCTGAACAACCATAATGATGTCGTTCAATGATGTTTTCTTGGTGGTAACGGGTACCTGGAGCTCTCCATATGAAAGTCCGGCGAGAATCAGACTGCAAGCTAAACCTGGACTCGTCGGAAAACATCACACAAGCCCACTGTTGCGGTGACCACAATGCATGCTCTCTACTCCAGGCTAACCGCAGGCGACAGTGAGTTGCAGTAAGTGGAACGCATCTGACAGGTCTACGAGCATATAGACTAATCTACCCTAAGCGTCTGTACACGGTCTGCTTTGAAATTGTCGTACCAGTGGCTGAAGAGAGCTGACGAGACAGGTCTGAGGCTGTGCTCCGCCTGTTTCTTTTGGCAATAACTGCCAAATACCGGTCCTCATTCGGCGTTGTAACTCTGGTGCGACCTGTGCTGTAACGTCTTCTCACATTACCATCAGCTTGGAATCGTTGCCAAAGCCTGGAGATGACACTCTGGGCAATTCCAAGTTCGTCTGATACTTCCAGTTGGGTACGCACACATTCCAGGCGGCCGATAATTCTTCCACGTAAAAAAGCATCCAAATGCGTCCTTTGTGTCATAACTATTCGGTTATTGCACTGAAATGCTTACAAAGCGCCTGCGAACAATTTTAATTCTTTGCCTGTATTCCTTATATATCACTCTCTAACACTCTCGTCATTGTGACGTACCATCGGTGTCATCTGGTTACTTTCTGAAATTTGCATATGATTCTTGAAGATGTGTGTAGTGATTTTACAGGTGATATATTTATTTTAGTGTTCGATTTCCACGTGACTCCGAATTATCCTTAATTTATGGACATGAGTGTAATTGCATTAAAATAGAGCTGAAGTAACATACAAAATACTTTACCTCTAAGGAAATGTTCATACTTTTCAATCAGATTATTCCTCATAATTCGTTATCTCGAATGAATCTGTTGCCTTCTGATTGTGTTCCTGTATATCTTTGCCGTAGTCGACCGAAAGATCCTACAGTTAAAAAAGACAGAACTATCATGAATAAAGAACTGTTTAAAACTATATGTACAAAGGGATCCTTCGTAAATGATGATAAGTGACCATCAATAATAATTGACCTCTTACAATGAATATATATATTATTTGTAAAATACATAATTACATATTTTCCTAAAATTATAATATAAAACAACAAGTAAAAAAAGTAAAATTATAATATAAAACAAACAAAGTTATTCATTTTCCTAAAATTATAATATAAAACAAACAGTAAATAAAGTAAAATTATAATATAAAACAAATAAAGTTATTCACAATTTCGAAACAGAATATACTTTATTTGGAAGCTGCTGTCTTTCACTTAGTAAGTACAATGAAACTTAACGAAATTAATTCGTTTCTGAAGACAATTACCCAAATTATACATAAACCGAAATAGTTTTCCCCATAGGAATTAATGTAAAATAATTAATTCGCCCCGACATCTCAAATCATTGCTTACAGAAAAATACTTTGAGAGCAAATTCATAAAGCAATACTGGTGTATTTCATTAAATCTAACACATACACAATATTTAACATAGTACTAAACACATAAAAAAATTGGAAAACTTGAATTAAATTTTTACGGTATCTTTACGAAGGAAAGTTTACACGGCGTACATAGAAAATGGTGAGCAAAATATCTTATTCAAATAGCAAAATATTTTGCCAAAGAAGCAAAATATCTTAATCTGAAAAAATATCAAAATAGATGCTGTGTTTCAGAGTTCTTGTTTTTAGCCCCTTTTCTTTTTCTCTTAACATTTCTCGCCTCTACTTGAGAATTGCTGGACCCTTTTGCCATTAAAAATTTGTTTAATGTGATTTGTTCCTGTCTATGTTTTAAAATATTGCTAAAGCAAGACATAGCATGTCATTGCAAACATTTATAATACGGTTTACTACTGTTTCATCACGGTGGTAATGTTCTGTGAACCGTTGCACTTTACCCTTTTTTGCACAAATTTCGCTAATTAAGTTAATTAGAAGCATCCTCCCTTTCACCTTCTTCTGAAGACATTTCCTCCACTGCACTTTGAGATATAATTTTCTGCTGACTTATTTATTCATATTTTGAGATATTTTTCATCATCGAAGACATTTTTCATTTCGAAAATTTTTTCGTGATCTAAGGTTCCACAGTGAATGCAGTTGCGACCTTCAAATTCATTGCAATTTGGATACTTCTGGTTCAGATAATGATTTCAAAAATATAGCTTCTAAATTTATGCAATGCAATGTAAAATTAAAAGTGGCTTTATTGATCTTTGCTGAGTTTTAAAAAGAACTCCCTAACAATTTTATTTTTTATTCTGTCTCTTTATATATCACAAAGCTTGGAATATCCATAATTACAGGTTTATTTCAAAAATTTATGAGCAAATTTATTGTGGTAAATGTCATATCAGCGTTCACAGCTTCTAAAACTTCACGTTCTCAGCCATAGCCGCTCAGGGAATAACAATTTCATGCGTATCTCGTTTCGCTCAAATTTTAAATGAATTCCAAACATCGCCGAACGCACTTCATTTGTGAATATTAAATTTCCCTTTCTTAATTTCAGTGATCATTTCAAGTGAAAAGGTGCGTTGTTAATAAAACAAGACTTTAAACAGTTTCAAAATTTTAGAATACCAGAAATAAAACACAAAACATCTTCCAGTATTTCTGTCATTTCATGGAAGTCGGAAAAGACGTCATGTACTTTGCTGTGGTTATTCAAATTCCCTTTTCTTTATACAATCTTTGGAATACAGTTCAAGATTAAGAATTTAAAGCTAACTATGCCACATTTGATTATCAAATATCTTATGCATATTTGAAGTAGTAAAATCTCTTTCTCTGGAACGAAGTTCTGCTTTTGCCACTTGTGATAGTTATGCATAATGTGAAAGCTAATGAAGCACTGACGTTGTGCTATGACTTTTAACTGAAAATACTGTTCTAAGAAAAAACTAAAAAATATCCCATCAATGCATTTTATTATCCAACGGAATAAATAAGCATCAATATTGATGCAAAGAAATTTCTGTATTTATAAAATAACTATAAAAATAAGATAACATAAAATCAAAACTTACCTCTATGCGTTCCTTCCCTTTTCATGTTGGGAGGTAAAGGTGAATAACGAGAATCTGCGATTTCATCACTAGCTTCTTGCTGCAAAATTTATAACATGAATTATCCAATATTATTTCTTTTATATACGCATAGTTATTTTTATAATCATAGTCATAGAACATCATTACAATAAACGGAGCAGTATATAAAAAAATCACAGTTTTACAATAATGACATAATATACTATCTGAAACCAACTACATATTGCCGATAAAAAACATGTTTGAACTAAATCAGGGAAACAAATGGCAAAAACGACAACAATGAATAAATATTACTGAAATTTTAAGAAGAATAAATAATGTTCATAATTTGTGCTGCTTATTTGAATTCAAATATCATCGCTTTATTTACTTGATTTCGATTTGTTACAAAAGCACTGCATCAAATCTAAGCATGTATATATGTTAGACATAATTTTATTATAATTTGTCAACAGCTTGAAAAAAAATCATCCACGACAAAAACGGCTCATCTAAAGCGCTTAAATTTAAAATAAGACACACAACGTCAAAATAAAATAATAAAAAATAAATACATAAGTAATAACTTCAGTGTCAGATATCATCTTAACACATTCTTAAGCGATCCTTTCCCCCCTTTTTAACATCAACAATGATATTAAAAATAAAAGAAAGAGAGGGAAAAAGTGCTTATACAAAATTCTAAAAACGGTCTGCTTTTAAAATCTAACTCTGCATGTAAAAAATGAATATATATCAGTTTTTATTGTTTCACAAGAAAAATCACGAAAATAGTAAATTAAATTTAAATAATTCTCTTGCGCCATCGCTGCAAGGAATGAAATTTGAATTTAAGAAATATTATCTATTCGTATAAAGTAAATAAAAAATTTAATTAACAAATTTAAATTGGAAAGAAATAAAAATAAAAATAATTATTAATGCTGCGAACTAATTTACAGTATCATTTAAATTCTAAGAGCATGTGCAAATTAATTGACCATATCTAAAACCATGAAAAAATACATTATTCCAAAAAATTTAATTTATTATTCCAAAAAATTGCATAAGTGAATAATTGTTGAGCAGGTAGGAGACAGACTTATCAAGGGGAAGTTGGCGTCAAACCTAGCTCTTCAATTACGCCATTCGTGTTTCGTCATCCATATAGGCAAGGCTAAAAGTTAAATTCAAAACCAAAAGTAAAACCAAATGTTGTGAATTACTAAAAAGAAATTTAAAAAGTGGAATTTAAAAAAATTAGCGAGTAAAGACTAGAATAATTAAAGACAATTAAGAGTAGAAAACCAAATTTTTTAGAAAACCAAAGTAATTTAGAAACTCTTGCCTACTGGAAACTTTCCCAACACAAATTATTTTAAACCTTATTTTTATTTCTTTGCAATTTATATTTTTTTTAATTAAATTTTATATTTGCTTTATATGATTGAGAATATTTGTTTTTTAAAAAATTATCGGTTTTTTTGATATATATTAATATATATATATATGGAATATAAATTCCTAATCCTTTTCCAAATTTCTTTTTTTATAAACTTTTGCTGATAATTAACTACAGTCAAAAGTCGTTAATTCGGACACCCATAATCCGGAATGATCTATAATCCGGACCTCAAAGCTACAAACTTTCTGCGATGCGTCGCGTTTACGCATGCGCAAGGCGTTTACGAGAGCGCGTAAGACTCTTACGGCTGCGAATATGTTTGTGCGCATGCGCGTTTAACGAAAGTAATACGCTAAGCTAAAGTTATCTAATTCAGTTAACGTTGCAGATTGCGTGTTCCTTAATCTTCGAATTGTCCGTTTTTTTTTGCATCAGCTATTAGGGGTTTTGGGGCAGAAAATGTCATTATTTTATGATAAATTAGAATTATGTTCAGATTTCGAAATGATATTTCTTATTTACTATTACTATGTAATTTTGAAACGCAAATATGTTTGAAATCCGAAATGTTTTGTGCGGGATTGGAAGTGATCTGTCAGCACACTTATCCTTCTCAGATGTTTTTTATTTTATTTGGTTATAATTCCGTACTAAGTGTAGTATTTTATCTCCGTCTTTGATATGATTTCAAGTTCCTCGTCATTATAATTCGCTTCCGATAGTGAGAAGAAAGTGACCCAGAGGTTAGTTGAAAACGAAACATTCAGTCAATTAGTCGGTATTCTCACAACAATTATAGGAACAGGGAACTTTGTAAACACTAAAATTATTTCTGTTTAATAGAATTAAGAGAAAGTATTATCACATGAAACGAAGCAAATTTACGTTGAAGGAAATGTTTAATAAAGTAAAAAAAAAATAAATATTAGCTTTTTTCTTTTTGTAAATTTTGATACCCTTTAGTTCAATTGTTCTTTTTTTCATTACGGTTTTTATATTTTTAATTTGTAATTTCTGCATGGCATCTTACCAGATTTAAACTGATGATCGATAATCCGGAATCGCCGAAGTCCCGACGAGTCCGGATTAACGACTTTTGACTGTATTCATAAATTCTGAAATTTTACGCATTATTAATATTATATCATGTATTTTGGTACTTATGTAGGTGAAGTTCAAATATTCAGCTCGGGATTGCCGTCAAAGCAGACAAAACACAACGGCAATATTATATTAGGTATATATTTTACTGAGCGAGCTTACGCCTTACTGGCGAAAACTGAGCGAAGCTCTTGTTGAAAACATGGCAGGAAAGTTCGACTACTATCTTAGGTGAGAAAAGAATGCTTGTTCTCTCATGTTAAAAGTGACTATTTTTATCAATTCCCAACTTTTGGACAAATGTTTATTCTAGAATTTTATTGTCAGTTGTGTAGAAAGAAGGTTTTAGGAAAATCTACAGCTGAATGAAGTTTCAGACGTTAGCATCTGATTAAGTCAGTTCTTCCGTTTCCACGCCTTGCTCGATGATTCTTTTCGCTCCAACCTCGCTACCAATCCCGATAACACTGCTCGTTTGATTCTTTCTGCTCTTTGCTCCATCCTCGCAAACCGCTCCTGGTTCAGACATCGTTCCGGATGTTTTTAACATAGTGAGCGGTGAGTCCTAAAAAAAGGACCGATTCATTTCAGTGAATGAACCGTTCTGATCCAATCCTATAAAAGAGAGGTTATGCCTATCTCTAATACGCAACCTGTCGTGAAAAATCTTGAACCTTAGAAGTAGAAAACAGTTATGAAGCTCTCCATGCAATGTCAATAAAATTGAAAACGAGATTGAGATTGGTAAAATCTTACAACATAATCATATTTGCATTTTTAATGCACTAAAACTAATGGAAGAAATTATTTTTCATTTATAGAAAACAAAACACCTGATTTATTTCTATTCTAACCGCGCCTATCATCTTAACTACTCACAGAAAAGAAATATTTATTACATGGAGTGAATGACTCATGGACTAAAATAGAGAAATTAGGCTTATCTACCATGTGCAGTTACTTTCCGTTGATGCTTATAGTTTCACAGAATTCATGTTGTATATTTGACGAACACTGACGGCCAGCCTACATGCTCCATAGTACACATTAATCTAAATTAATTTAATAACTTCTTAAATATATGATCTCTACCAGTGGTATTTAAACTTTACGGCACGACAATTGCGACCCAAATCAGAGCATCTACCTTTAGTTATATACCATCAATGCAGACTTTTTTTTTAGAATTTTATCCACCTTGCGACCCCGAATAGAATGGCGACCCATAGTTAAATACAACTGCTCTATAAATTTTATATATTTTCATTTTATATTATTTATATTAACTAAATAATTAAAAGTACGCAAATAAATTGACAGCAAACTGAATTTTATTTAGTCTAGACAGGTGAAGGTATCCGGATACCTCAAAGTTTCCGGGAATCTCGAATTGGGATGATTCAGATTCTATTTTAGCATATTATCAAATACTATAATACAAACAAACAACATGTAAAAATATGCTTAAAAATATCAAGGCAGACCTTACGAGGAATTCCTTACTTCAAATTTTAAATTAGTTTGGAGAAAAAGAACATACGAATTTATTATATATATTTATAATATTATTTATTATATACAATGTTTTTTATTAAAAACAAAATATAAATATGCCTAGTATTTTCGCGCATGTATACATATTCTGGCAGTCAGGGACAGGAATGATGAAACTTGGCATCAGTAAGTAAGGCATCCAATGACGACAAAGAAGAAGTTAGCTGTTTTGTGTTCACATCTTTATTGAATTCAAATGGCAGATCATTATTCTTTTAAATTAATTTATTCAAAATTACATATTCAATAAAGATTTTAATCAAATAAGATTACTTTAAATTTACTGCATCATACTATTCGAACAAAGGGACACAGATGGGAAGAGCAGCAGCAAAAGTCTTATAGCATCAGAAGTAGAAAGCAGTTTGACTAAAAATGGCGCGAACTCTGCATTTATAGCTGCGGTTATATAACATGCCAGAATGTTCTCGAAAGTATTAGTCTAGGGGGAAGATTCTGAAATTGCGGAAAGTTAATTAGAGGTTGTCTGTTCGCGTAGAGCAAAGTCTAGCTCGCGTATTTTTTATATTTTACATATATACAAGGTGTTTCATAGATCATGCGACAAACTTGGAGGGGTGGAGGAGCGTACTAAAACATGCATTTTTTGTATAGGAATGTAGGGTCTAAAGTGACGGGTTAAGGCAGGAACGCAAAAAAACGACACGAGAGGAAAGTCCTCTTCGAGTTTATGTACAAATTTAACTCAAAGTGCTTCTTTGCAGCGATACAGGTGATAGGTGATGGAGGACGGGGACGCCTGGTGTTTAACATAGGTAAACAGGCGTGTGTCCCACACCCTTCCCTATCTAGGAACAACTCCCTGGGACCCTGTGAGGCTGCCTCGGGAGTTTATAATACAGATCTAAAGATCAATACATGGCCAAACAGGGGCTGAGGATTATTGTTTGACAATGGTTACGTGACAATAGCTTTGTGGGTATGCATGGCCGTTGGAATAACACAGATACATAAAAATATACAAAACAAATACAAGAATAGACACATGTATAGGTAAAAACAAACAAATACTAACAGATACGAACATAAAGATGCATTGATATTAAGAAAAATACGAAGAGAGACACATATGTAAGATAGTAATACAAAAGTAAAATGCTAAAATACTAAAAATATGCTAAAATACAGAATGCGGTAAAGGGAGTCATATGTGTATTGCTGGTATCCTTGTGGTTGTAAGTATGCTGTGAGTACTTAAACACAAAGATGAAGCAATGAGTATCGGATGTAGAGTTATGGTGCCAAGAGTTAGTGTTAGAAAGTACAGTCTGCACTAAAGTTCAAATTTGCGAGAGTTCAGGCTACACTAAAGTTTAGTGTACACTGTGGTACTAATAGCACTAAATGTAGAGTTTGGCACAGTCACTATGTTTTAACACAATTGCTTTGGTTGGTACAGTCGCTACAGCGCAGACATTATGTTAGGCACAGTAATTTGAGTACACTATCACAATGGTTGCACAGTTACTATGACAGTGAACAGTTTAAAAGAGTTATCTAAGTCATGGAGTAGGTACTGATGGTCATTGCTGTATGCACTAGTACTTAATACTGCACTTTGCAGCAACACAGTATTCACAATAAATATTCAAAAAAGGGAACACTAACAGTAATAGGAACTACAGCTGTGGTTGGCTGGCAATGCAGCGGTAGAGGGCGGTAGTGAGCCAGACAAACCACGATCCGATGCATCACAGAATCATTCGCAACTGTAATGTCGAGCATGATGGATGAGTTTACGCACAGGGAAAAAGCTGACACGCATCTTATGTATGGTGCTGCTCATGGGAACGGCAGAGCAGCGCTCGGTTGTACCAGGAACGGTTTCCGAACAGGCGTATGCCGAAGCACACAATGTTCGAGAGGTTGCATCAGTTCTCTGGGCGAATTTTGAAGGTCATTTGAAGCCACCTCTGAGGAGGAAGAAGCGCATGATAACCTCACATTGAAATAATCCATTTTGAACATTGTGCATGAATCACCTCAGACAAGTACAAGAGCATTGCACATCGTCTGCAGCTGAGTCATTCCACCGTTTGAAGAATATTGCATGAAAATGGTTTGCATCCATACCATTTGCAGAGGGTTCAAGCCCTGCAAGAGACAGATTACCCTCTTCGAGTTCATTTCTGTTATTAGTTCTTGCAGCAGTGTGCGGCGCAGGAGGATTTCCCATTAGGAGGATTACCATATTTTCTGCAAGAGGTGCTACCGGAATTGCTGCAGGATGTTCCGGCTGTCGTTCGTGATTGCATGTGGTTCCAGCATGATGGTGCACCAGTCCATAACCACGTGCGATTCCGAAATTACTTGGATGGGACATTTCCGTGACGATGGATTGGCCGTGGTGGATCCGTTCAATGGCTACCCCGTTCGCCAGATTTATCCAGCTTGGATTTTTTTATGGGGCCACCTGAAGAGCATGTATTGCTACAAAAAAGCACTTTGCGTTGATATTGTACATAAACACATTTTCCTCTCGTGTCTTTTTTTTTTTTTTTTTTTTTTTTTTTTCCGTTTCCGTTCCTGCCTTAACCTGTCACTTTAGACCCTACATTTCCATAGAAAAAATGCATGTTTTAGTACGCTCCACCACCTCTCCAAGTTTGTCCCATGATCTATGAAACACCCTGTATATAAGTTTTAAACCGAAAAGAGGCAAACTTTGTGACGAAATTTGAAAGCCCTTTAAAATTTTAAAAAGCCGCAAAATATCGCAGTGCAATTACATTTGTAACGGCTCATCTACAACGATTCAGCACATATATTTTTTTATCATAATGTATTTAGATTTGGAGGATTATCTACAGTTCTTTAAATATTGCTCTTTCCGGTGAAATCAATGATTTAACAAAACTCGTTTCCTAAATACCTCACAAAATTTGCAACTTACTGTTAGCAGCTTATGTTAAACTGTTTGCGTTTTATTTATGTTAATGATTTCTTCTTAGCTACTTATATAAGCTTTCATAAGAAATTATATAAAGTTCAGTTATTTACAATATATATAATATTCCCAAGTATTTATTGATTTCGGTAAATAAAACAGAAAGAAATATTATCGTTTTGATTACTTCTTCATTGTCTTTCATTTCAGCTGTGTCTAATCTGCAATCAGCGTACTGATTGTCACATGGAATGTGTATTGTTTCGGGAATGAGACTGTGATTGCAACGGCAGTCTGAGATATTTTTCTACAACAAGATAACTTTTCGAATTCCTTACATTGCTGGTGGATTTTCATCTAAGTATTCATATATTACCTATCATATACTCTTAGCACCAGTATTCAAATGTAACATGCAAAATTCTGAAAATATACGTATAATAGTATATAATAGTATACTAGTATACTATAATAATAATAGTATACTGCTCCAGCACCTGCTAAACCTTTTCATAAACTTGACAAGATTGCAAAATAAGGCATATTCAGATTTCTTTTACAAAGCAATAAAGATACATATTTTAATTATTTTCTATTAAAAATGTGATTATCTAAACTTTTTTGAAATGAGTGTTAAGGGGTTAAATTAGTACACGCTCATAACTGTAAAAATGGATATGATTGTTGAATACTATTAGTTAGATCCACATTCGAATTCCGACAAACGGGCTTAGAGCATACCCAATCTGATGGATTCTCTCATGTGTAACGCAAATACAAGCCAGTTTCCCTCCAAGAGTCTTTCACGAAAGCACTCCCTTCAGCTAATCCTGGCTTGTTTTGGCTTAATTAAGTCAATGAACTAACCAATTAGAAAGCACTGCTAACAAAATTATGAAATATTATAGTAAGGAAGCGTTAACTGCAAATGCGCGCATTGGTAAAAAACAAAATAATAAATGCAATGTTCGAAGTCTGAAATTAATTAACGAAAAGGTATATGTCGCATATATCTTTTTTATTTGATATGTAATATTTTTGGCCTGCTTGATGACCTGAAATCTTAAAAAAACAGAACAGAAATTTGAAAATCTGGAAAATTGCATAATATTGTTAATATTTTTTCTTTTGGCATCGCTTAAATGCCTATCTACAGGCACAGGCTGAAACATTACCAACACTTGTTCGTCCAAGTAGGCATATTGGTACTGCCGGGCCTTGCTAAGTGCTAAGTTTCCGCTCCGGATGGAATTCCGAGGAAGAACATCTCGGGGTGCGGTCCAAGGGTCTCTCACTCTGTAGAGACATTAGGTATTTTTGGAAGCAGGAGATGAGAAATCGGCAACGCCTTCGCCGGGAATCGAACCGCGGACCTCTGGAATACGCGCCCAGCGTGCAGACCACCACAACACGAAGGCATTCCAAAAAGGCGGGAGAAATATCTTATAAATCTTCTTTCCTTACCAGCAGCTTCTCCAGAGCACTTTGGCTCGCCGTGTATTTTGTGTACTCCCGTGTCGTGAAGACATTATATGCTAACAAATATTCATATCTTACCAAGCATTCAAACTAGGCCCTTCGGTTCGGCAGTCAGCATCACACCACTATTCTATCTACAGCATTTCGGGCATTATGTCTTTTAATATTGATTATTTCTAGACGTCTAAATATATATATCGACATTCGAAACGTTCGCGAAACTGCCCGCATACCAGTTCTGCTTAAAATGAATATAATAAGCAACCAGTCTTCTTTAAAGTAACATCCATCGAACTTATATTACGTTTCTGACATTCATGGAAGAATTTATGCTTCCTTTGATATTCATCTTGCATTGTGTATCATATCCTTTTAAATAACGTGAATCGTCTGAAAACATTGACCTGTAGAACTAGGGTTAAACGACAGAGGAAAGTTAGAAGGTGAGATATATAACCCCATAATGTGAGGATTTGTCTGATAATGTTCAAGGACTACAGGGATTTGTTTTTGATAAAGGAAACCCAAGCTTCTTTGCTCTATGACACATTGCCAAACGGTCAAGAGATACTTAAACTCCATTTGCACAACACGAACTATATGTCTAAGGTGACACTATATATTTTATTTTTCCTTACAGAGTACGCTAACGTCCTTTCACAACAAATTTAAATATTCCATGTGACATGATTTTTACGTGAACTTTTTGAAAAAAAGATTTTATAATATATATATATATATATATATATATACTATATATTTCAGGAACACTGATAACTGGTTATTTTCAAGGTTAATTTGCTTCTTCATTTGGCAAACACGTTAGCAACAAATCTATATTTAATTATAAATGTAAATGCATTCTTTATTAAAGATAAACACGGAAAAAAAACCTAGCACATCACATGAGGCATTGTCTTAATTACATTGTTGGATCCTAATTATAATTACGTTAGTTTTTAAATTTTATAAACTACACTCTGAAAAACACAAAATTTGAACTTACAGCAATGTCTACTTTTGGTCTAGCTACTTTCATGTAAGAACCAATTCGTTTCGCTTCCAATTTCTCAAAAGCTTTGACAGGCGTTGAGTCCAGAAACTTTAAATTAGGAATTTGATGTAAAATATAGTATCTGAAAGGAGAAAAGAGTAATACTTATATATATATAAATACATAAACACGTGTAAATACAAAATACTTACATGTTTTAATTTTATCCTAAATAAATCAATTGTTATCTTTGTAGCACATCGTTTTTTAATCTTTATTGTAATAAGCAAAAAAGGTATATGAAATGATTTAACAGTTTATTATAAATGATTGTAAGCCAAATCCATTCTTGTTTTTATGTAATTTAACCAACTGCTGTCCTTATAATACACCATTTGCATGAAATGTATATAAACACATAAACCGATTTATCTGACATAAACGACTGTAACAAAAATTTAGTTTTATCTTTATTGCAAATAAATCCTTTGTTGCATTACTGTAGCCTTTTATTTTTATTATTTTAACAAGAAAAAATGAGACGTTGCTTAATATATAATGCATAATAAAAAAATTTTATCCTTTAGATAAAAACGAAATTTATAAATAACTGAGAACATTGAACATTTTTCATGGCTTCCGCTAAACTTTCTCCTTTCTGCACGCCTTTGTGGTGTAATTGGAAGCATACTCGACGCATATTCGAAAGGTCCAGGGTTCAAGTCCCTGCGAGGGCGTTTTTCACGTCTCTTGCTTCAAACAAAATAAAAAAACTAACGACTCTACAGTGCAAGAAATGATATTAAAGCAAACATAAAAATGGACATTACATTTTTAAGTAATAATAATAATAATAACATAAGTAAGAATTTCTCCAATTATTCTAGATTAGGTTTTACTAAAACAAATATACTGAAGAAACATTTATAGAATACAAAAGAAATATAGAAATGATCTCTATTGTGCATAGATATAATCTTTTTTATTCAGTTTATTTTTATCCCAATAAGAGTAGCAATGACAGAAATCACTTTTAAGCTCAAATGTATGGGAGAATTCGATCACAAATCTTATTTTCAGGGTTAATTTGTTACTTCATCTGGCAAATACGTTAGAAACAAATCTATATTTAATTATAAATGTAAATGCATTCATTATTAAAGAGAAACACGGCAAAAAACCTAACACATCACATGAGGCATTGTCTTAAACACATTGTTGGATCCTAATTATAATTACGTTTACACTATTTAATAAATTCTCCATTTAATTTCGATAAAAATTCTTTCTCCACCTTCCCTCCAAAAATAAAAAATTAAAAAAAAAACTCATGCTTCTTTTGCATATAGATTCCAGTAAAGCCGAAAAATGTCACAAGTTTGTATACTTTACATCTTTTAACGCTTAAATACCTGGAACCTACTGGAGACGAGCTCTGGTATTCTATCCTAATTCGAGTCGGAGCTCTGGAAACTGCAATATATTACTATAATTGCAAATTAGCAGTAAAATCTGTTACTCCTGCAACATTCATTTCTCAACATCTGCAATTTGTCAAACTGTTACTGACATCAGCTACAAAATGTATATTCTACTTTCCTCGGGATATCTTGAGTACAGAAACACGCCATGTCAAAATGCTATCTCTAACAAAATAAAATATTAATAGACTACACTCATCGGTCAAAGAACTTTTACATAGAATATACGTCAACATAAAAAAACACTTTTATTTTACCTCGATGATCTTTCAGAATATTGACTTTTTTTATTCTCGGTAGTGTATCTTTATGTTATTACTTATTCACATTTCGCTTGTTTTATTATTCCATTTAGCTTTCATAGTACACTTATTTAAATTGAATTTATTATTATTTCTATTTAGAACTCTTTACATTTTAATTACCTACTGTTTTACTCCATTATGAATTATTTTATTATATTTTTTTACCTGTTTTTGGTGGCCTTCGACAGGGCGCCGACAATTCTAGTTTCAGAAAATCTTCGATAACATTAAAATAAAAATCAAGAGAAAGGGAATACAAACCGAATTACTTTAATTTCCTTATACACAACTGTAAGGTTCCAATCTAGAATCTACAGCTAAGAGTGAAACCTTGAGAACTGGTACGCGAATAACAACTTTAGCTCAAGAAAGAGAAAAGAAAACTCAAGAAGGGTTAATTACCCTTTATTGCTCAAAATAAGATTTAACATATGGTCCTTTCTCAGGGCGTACAGAAAAGCCTCTACTTGGGCTTGAACTGAAAAATATAAGAAATAAAACTTAACTAATGCTTAACTAAAAAGATATAGACGAAGCTATCAAAATTCTACAGGAGTTGGCCCCTAAATGTTAACTAAACGGCGAAGCTATCAAAGGCCTGAAACACGGCCGAGCGTAGTAACAGCTTAGAGAGAGTTAGCCAAATGGCAAACGCGCGCTAGTCAGAATCTCTTGCTCTCTAACGAAATCAGTGAAACTTCGACTTAAGTACTGCTCTTCCTTCATTCGCATTTAACCGCAATTCTAAAAACACACTCTGTGCGGTAATTTGTAAGCTGAAATTAGAAGGGTTAGGAAAGTAACTTTAACTAAAGATAACTGTTAAAATCTTAGGATAAAGAACGGAAGGATATAAGAGGAAAATTAAAAATCGAGAACGGAAATTTTTTAGAAGAAGTAGAGAAAGAAGAAGAGAGAGAAGATTCACTTTTTTTAATCAATTACGAAAAAGCAAGCAAAGTGTTATCACTCCGCATACAGAAATGTCCTGATTATGGTCTTGAGATTATGGCTCAAGGAAAAAAAATTTTACATACGAAAAAACAAACCCTTACACCTGAGCAATTACATTTTATACTAGTTACAATATGTAAGGTTTATTAATATTGTTACGTTCGTAGGGATTCGTAAGGAATTAAACGTACACAGAACCGATGATAGTTTGATAAAATTTGCTTTCCCAAAATAAACATTTTACAGTTCTGCGACATTTTACAAAAGTACTCGTACAGCTCTTCTCAATACCACACAGCAGAATTAGAGTTACACTTCAAACTAACGAGAACGTTAAACACAACGCAAAAATCATTTAACGGCGAACAGAAAATTTAACGGCGAAGCTCGCATGGAGATTTTTCAATACTCCAAAATCAACTCTGAACTAAACAACTGAGAACTGATACTCTCTCCGGTCTTATATAGTTTTCTTTCGACCGCCGAAAAATTTCCAGTACCTTCGATTTCTCGAAATTGCTGGAAGACATATATAGCTACACTTTCATATAGGCCCGAATACAGTTACAATTACATAGAAATTCGACAAAGTACAGTTATACAAGGATCGGATTAAAATGTCGCCAAATGGTTGCCAAGTTTGGCGACTAATCATCGCCAGGTTGGTCATTTGTATCAGCGCTAAATGTACCTGATCATCCTTCTTCCTTATTCTTCCAGTGAAATTTTGGTCTCTTGAGACAGTTTCAAGTTACATTATACAAGAGATACTACGATTTTACATATAAGTTCACTAAAATTACTTACATATATACAAAATTCGTAACAATTAAAAAATTAAACTAAATTTTTAAATGTTGAATTACGAATAATGTGTAATATGAATTTTTTTGCTTTTCTCTCATAAAACTATGAATGTTAGTTTCGACGGCTCCAGAAACTGCTGTAGGATAGGATCATTATAGCACAAACCAATATAACTAGTGATATAGAAAATTATAGCTCGAATATTATGTCTAATGAGTTCAGATTTAGACAATATTCTTAGACACATAATTATGACTTATGATACAGAATATTATGGCTGCTTGTGGTTTCAAAATTTCACACTTAATGTTTCATTAATATAAAAAGTTATGAGAATCGTCTTTCTAAAATTACTTTGCAGGCTGCAAGTTTGAGGCCACTGTCCTAACCAATACTTATCTGAAATAAGTGATAGTGATATTTTTAAAACAGCACTGACTGCAGTATAATTTCAGAAAAATGGCTGGAAAATGTTTTAAAGCACATGAAAAAAATCCGTACCTGTATCTTTGATAATCTTCTTCATCTTTCTCCAAATTTGACAGCTGATCTGGACAAGCTGGGTTACCCAAAAGACTCAAATAAGTTAATTCTGGGTAACATCGAGATAACTGTTTTAAAAGTGTTTCCAAATCTAGAAACTGAAACACAAAAGCAATGTTTTAGAAATGTTTATACAGAAATTTAAAAATAAATTTAAACCAAAACAAATAAACCTGAAATATCTATACAGGTTTATAAAATTCTTATCTTTTAATTAACAATACATTTATATAAAATGAATTGGCACACTATTAAAAGCAATATTAACTTGACCACAATTGAATACAAATTTTCATAAATGAATTTTTCTACTATGTTTAATTCTGTAATGAGTTTTGGTACTGAAGTTATGGCATGAAAGTTCTGTAAATGTAAACAGCACCTCCAAGAAAAGAAATGTTGAGAGTAAAAATAAGATGGACACATTCAATTGGGAAGAAATCGTGATTCAATAAGAGATAATACCAGACCAAAGGATAACATAGAATTCCGAGAAAACAAACTGTCCTACGGAAAAGCACATGATTTCTGATAACCAGTCAGACAGAAAAGAAATTTTATTTTGAAACTTCGACTAACAGGATTCTGGGAGTTTTCTGGAAACCAATGACTACTTAGAGAAATACAGTAAATCAGGTGGAAAAGCTACAGAAGCCATAACATCCACTAGCAGGAGAAAGGAAAAATCACTATTTCGATTACTTGAATCAAAATCTTCACTGTTTAAAATTCTCAATAAAACAAGTCCTTCCACTGTTTAAAATTCTAATTTCAATTTTGGCTGAGGGGATATTTTACAGTCCCACATCCTTCTAAGATTTTAGATTATAGATTAAAACCTTCAAATAGTGTTATCAAACACTTTTAATAAACCATGCATAGTAGATTTTAAAATTAAGTTTTGATTCTTTTCCATGATTCTGTTACAATCTTCTCACTTCCAATCTTAGTTGCATTCTTAAAGCATTCACATTGCCAAACAAAGATACCTTTAGAATTTCAGACAAATCGGATACAAACGAGTTCAAGCGTATGTGACAGACTATCATGCCCACACTTGAGATATCTTGGCAAGTTGCCACATCCAAGCTGGCGGTGCCCGAGCCTTTAGAAACACTAACATTGAATAGGAGTCTTCCTTGGCTTAAAAAATGTAATATTTACATCAAAACTCAAAATCAGTAACTCATATCACATGTAAATCCGAAAACCAACTACTTATCTTGAAAACTCAAAACCAAAGTGCTGGGAGTATTTATTTAATATAATTTTGAAACCTAATGACGTTTATCAATTTCGTGATTCAATTGACAAGCTGCATGATATCACATAGGACATCGTTTTTTCACTCTCTACCATTAGCCCTATAAAATCAGTTTTTATCAGAGTCACCATTTTCCTCAGAAAAGTTGTCAACTAATAATGAGCCTAAATTGAAACAATCAGCAGCAAGGTATTTCGACAACGTTTGTGCTTTCTGTAAAATTATCGATACCTACGATGCAGTTCTACAATAATTCTTTCCTATCATTGCACATAGAAAGGTTCTATTTATCGATAATTTTATCAGCAGGCATATTAATTACCTCTACCGTCAATGTCGGCAACAGTATCCTCATCGGAAGGTACCATCGAACGCGGACCATCAAGTAGGATGAAATCAGGATGGAGATTCAGTCATGATGTACTCTGAAAACTGAGTAATCTGATGACAATCATAAGTTAGACCTTAGAGAAATAACTGATTCTAGAGAATTTCGGTAGTTCCTTTTCCTTTATTTTATCCACTGCAGAAGAAATGGGACTCTCAGTCACCATTCAATGTAGCATGGCAACTTCATGACGAAAAGACATTGTCGAACAGTCGATTCCACGCGGAGAGGGAATAAGGATGAAATCCCAAGCCATACATACCTCAAAAATGTTCCAGCAATTCTAATAATGATTACAAGTTACATCGAAATGCCTAACAGAAATGAATAATTCTAGAGTTTCAGCAACCGTTTTCTGCTCACGAAAAGCAGCTCACAGGCACCACTCAATGTATTGTGGCAACTTTATGCCAACCAAGCATCATTAAAAATTACTTTTCAGTTACATTTCACTATTGGACTTTAAAATCATCAATAATTGGTAATTAAATTCACGAAAAGCATTAAAAAATCACACTGCTATTCCAAAACGATGATATTGCGAAAATAGTATCTAATCGTACTATTTTCTGAAGTTCATTATTCTGAATTTATTTTTAAAATGAAATAATAATAAATAAGTGAAACAGTGATTAATACGATCTTTTATTTTATTTCGCAACACATTAAATAACAACTCAGAGCCAACTCTGGAGGACAATTTTAACCGTTATTAATTCATTGAAGTTTAACTGGAAGTAAAAGAAGTTACATGCAGTGACTATTATAAGTAAATATGAATACGATTATATCGTAATATAAACAAAGTTAAATTCTCAAAATTAAGGAATTGATGCTTTATAAATATTATTATGAACTAAATTTAGGTATGATTACTCACATGATTTTTGTTTAAGGACAAAGTATGCAAGCGTGGCAAAGGAATGAAAGAAACTAAATCATTTAAATCATTGTTGTCCAGAATGAGTTCTTCAAGGGCAGGAAATAGCTCTAGGTTATCAAGAGATCTGAAAATAAGAAGAAACTGTGTCAAATAAAAGCATTATTGATTTTACTCCATATGGAGTTGGTCAGAGAAACATTTAACCAGCACTTGATATAAATTTAATATTAAATTTTTTTAATTGAAATACTTAACATAAAGTCATTATTCGACTGGATAAAACTGGAATCTTTCAGTTTTCAAGTGTTCTATTACTCTACTCCGCTCAAGTTGACCTCCATCTGAGGTGTCAGACAAATGAAATTTAGATGCCAACTTCCTTAAGCAAAGGTAGTGGTGGCTTAGATGTCTTCCTATAAGTGTTGTTCTACTACTGCATTGTTGTAATCATTCTCAACATTTATAGTTTTCACTTTAACGTTGTAAACCGTATGCTTTTCGTTCGCTATTGACTAACTTTATAACCAATTACAAGAATGGATTAATGCATGTGGATCTACAGACTTGGAAATAAACTAATATGATAATAACTCTAAGACTGAAGCGACTGGCTGTTATACTAAAAGATATTTCAATGTTCTACTTAACTTTATAAATTTTTGTTCTCCAAAAATTTCATAGAAAATGCTTTAGGTCAATTCTATTTAAAATGTACAAAATTACTGCCTAGTTACCTTACAGTTAATACCAATAACGCATACACACTTGTTTCACCGTTTCTGAGATTCCTGGAAGAATATCACAATATCTGTTTTGGTACGTCATTCTAGATAGCTCGCATTGTTTAAATACATTGACTCCAACGAGACATCTTGATAAGAAGAAGAACGGAGTCGAAAGGGTGAGAAATCTGAACAAATAAGATGGTTTTGGCATTACAGAGGTCTATTTCTGACTGTATAAATCCACGCTTCTTTATTCAAATACTGTTTACTACAAATATGAAACTGCGGCGAATGATCGATTTAATTAATTTAATTTAATTTCGTTTGCCTTATAACGGGAGCTAAGCTATACTGGATAATATCACATCATATATTTTTTTCTACAGAGAATATGCAGGCAGACTGCCGTATCCTAAGACCCGAATTCATATCCCGGAGAAGGCATGGATGTTTGTAAGTGTATAAAATGCTGGTGAGCCAAATGTCTACTCTAAGAGAAGAGGACAAGAGACCCTGGAATCGGTTCTATTGCTAGTCATCATAGCCTAATTTTATTGTTTTCTGCATTGTTATTTGTTCTAGCAATTAGAATTTGATGTAGTGAAAGCTCCCGTGATTCCTAATGGCATTTATTTCCGCTCCCTTTCCTTTGATTGGTATCTTTCATTTTTGGCATACAATTTAAGATAATGCAATCCATATTTATTTGATGTGAGGAAAAGAAATACTCATTTTCCTTGTCAGCTATCATTTTCAACATCATTCTTTATGCCACAACAAAGATTCTGCGGTTTCACTCAAGGAAGCCTTGCTAAGTTTATTTCATTATTTATGCCTTTTCGAGGTCAATGAGGTATAATAAATGTCAAAACAACAGATTCTTTCCTCTACTTAAATACTCAAAACTAACAGCTTACGTCCTACCTTATACAGAGGATGTTCCCCCTGGCACACAAAATTTCGCACTGCCCAATCAGTCTCTCCTCTGCAGCAAGCTTACGAAGTAATATACCTCTGCAACCCTGCCTCCTGCCTCACTCAGCTTCTAAACTCTACCACTGCTGGCTGCACGATACTTCGCTTTTCACTCTTCGAAAGTATCCATTTTGTCGACGTCGCCTCAATAACGCTACAATTGCTATTAATTGCTCCTTCAACTGCTTCAAATTTCGGAATTTTCTCTTCAAAATTCCCATGCCTATAATTGCTACAGTTATGCCAAAAATTAATTGCTGCATTTCATTCCACGCTAGACAACGATCGGAAATCGACTACTCATTAGACTGGGATAGGGTTTTATCCAGGCGCCCAAGAAAACAGAACTTTGTTCACGAAGCGAAGTGAAGCGATACCTGAACAATTTACTTTTTTTTTTTTATATTAGTAATTGAGAAACAGCATGGTACCCTTTTATGTTCACATTACGCTTCTTTTCTTTCCATATGCTGAAAGTAGATTTTGTTAGTGATACTCATAGGCCAGAAGATTACATTTAGTACTATTTTAATTAAGAAGAACTGATTCGTTATTCACATAAACCCAGAACCAGCGCTAGAGTTTATAATGGCCGTACCAGGCGGCAGAATTTTAGGGAAGACAAAGGGAGACGCTTAGTAGTAGAATTTAGGAGCCACAGAGACTGCATCAGGTGCCGGCTCTCAATAAGCCTTAAGTATATGTGGTAATCTATTTATTCAGGACTCAGATAAGCTTTAAGTATGTGCAAGAAATGGGCGTAAGTGTAATAAATAACTAAACTAATATAATTCAGACTTAATTGTCTCAGTGCGCGATAGAAGCAAGATAAAATTTAGAGGAACAACTTGTCTTTAGTAGCCAATCTCATAATACATAGTCAAATATGTATAGTGAACGATAGATATTTTATGATGATAGCCGCGAATCTGAAGGTTTTCGAAAATCGCAAACCAAAGTAGAAATTTTCCAATTAACGGACTTTGTAAAGACATGTGAAGAAGCGGTAATAAATGAAGAGGATATAAAAGAAGTTTTTCACTGTGATGACAATGCTCCTCAATCATCAATCAATTATCGGATGGCGAAATCTGTTGTTGTACGATTCTAGATCCAGAAAATACCGTACAGACAGAGTGACAGAGAGAAGAAAAAATTTCGATTGACAAGTTAGTCGGAATTCTAGACACAGCAATTTGTAATTGCTTCAACAAGGGGAACTTTGTAACTGAATAAGAAATTGTGTCTGTCTATAGAATTAAAGAGAAAATATTAGCACAAAAAAAGAAGCAACTTAAACAACTTGAAAGAAATGTTTAATATAGTTAAAAAAAATATTAAGCTCTTTTTTTTTTTTTTTTTTTGTAAATTTGGATACCTTTTAGATCATAAATGCTCCATTATTTCATAAATCACGATTTCAGATTTCAGATTTTAAATTTTATTATTTTTACATGCCATCTTAGTAGATTTAAACTGATGATCTAATATCCGGAATCGCGGAAGTCCCGACAAGTCCGGATCTAGGACTTTGTACTGTATATTAATCAAAGCTGTATTGTGTCTCCTTTTTCATCAGCAGTAACCATAAGATTATTTTCAAAAATTATAATGAAGTAGAATAAAATAAAAAATATGCTGCAAACTTCCTGGAAGAATAACTTGTTTCGAAATGATAAATTTAAAACATTCATCAAAAATAGATCTTATTAGTTCTTAAGCATATATTAATTTATCAAAAATCTGTTGAACGATACATACTTCTTGTGCTTTTCTTCTGCGTAAAAATATACGTAATTAGCATAATGAATCAATGACATATCTTTATTTAAAATGCTTATCAAATAACTAAAACGCCCTATAAGGTATTTCTCCCTCCTTCTTAGCATGCCTTCGTGGCGTAATAGTCAGCACGCTCGACGCGTATTCGAGAGGCCCAAGGTTCGGGTCCCGGCGAGGGCACTGCTCATTTTCCATGTCTCCTGCTTTCAAAAAATACCTAATGTCTCTACAGTGGCGCTCGAACTAAAACACGTGGTGGATGATGATTCTTCAGCAGCAGGATTTGGCGACTGGGTCTCCTAATCCTCAGTCGCACTTTGAAAGTTAGAATTTGAAAGAATTAGATAGCACATAAACCTTCTTAGCATATAAGGAGAGAGCATATAAGCCTTCCGCCTTCTTAGCATGCCTTCGTGGTGTAATGGTCAGCACGCTCGTTGCGTCGAGAGTTTCGAGGTTCGAGTCACGGCGATGGCACAGCTCATTTTCCATGTCTCCTACTTTCAAATAATACCTAATGTCTCTACAATCTACACATAAACAGACAAAAATTAATGAGCTAAAAAATGTCAGATTTATAGATAAATGGGTATAATAAAACTATCATCATACTTTTCTTTTCATATATGTCGAACATATGTTAATTTAACACTTTCAGGTTGAGTTTATTTAAGATAATAAGAAAAGTAATACGGTAAAAGAACCTACAAAAAGGAAAACAAAATAAAATATAAATTTAAATTACTTTCTTCCCAGACCTAGTGCATTTTCCTTGCGTAAGTTAGTATGAAATATTTTTTTCTAAATTGTCTTTCTGGTTCCTTTTATGGAACTGAAAATTCCTTCTATGTTTGCCTTTATGTTATAGTAGTTAACATACCCAAATAGCAACAGAAAGATTAACAGTTCAATTCCGAATAAGGACAATATTGATTTTTCGCGCTCTGTAACACATAATAATCTCTTTTTCAAAGTATACCACCTGCTAAATGAAATTTCATTTATGTCATTAACTCTACCGACTTCCGCTAATTCTTCATGGATTCTATTTTAAAATGAAACACCAGGAGTAAAAAATCTGAAGTATTTCATGATCTCAAGCACGGCTTACCTTACGCTACAGCAAACAGTGACATGTACCCCAGGCCTCCAATCCTTAACAATATGTATAATTTTATGCATTTTTCCAAATCCAGGTTTATTACAAATAGAAAATTAAAAGTAGGGAAAAAATTTTAATTCTTAATGTTTCGAAATTCAGACACTGGGCCATTGTCTTGCACTCTCATAACTGAGCGATATCATTTGATGAAGCCACGACGGAAAGAAATTAGTTTTTAGTTTTACATTTTATTCACACATTGTTGTTGTTGTTGTCTTGTCCAATGGAAAAAGTGCTAAATGGAGCTTCTATTCATACATTTGCTTATTAAAATGACAATTATCTTAATTGCAATAGTTCGGTCTTGTCTGTGATATTTATTCAATTAATTAATTAAGATTTGTAATGAAATTAATTACAATTATTAGATGTTCCTTTTTTTTTCAGCTACTCCTTAGACCTCATCAGTGCTCCTGGAACTGCTGCATCTGCTACAGCTAGCAACTTAACGTCTTCGTCATCATAAAGCCTATCTTCACA